AAATAAAACATAATAAAACAATTCTCACGACGTTTCGGCCACAACGCAAGCAGCCGTCCTCAGGTGAAGAACAGGTCTGTCGGGAAGACAGCGTCTGAATGAAACACCACCAAGCTTGGCAGCGTCTATTTAAGCTGGGATGGAGGGGGGGAAAAGCGCCTTGACAAAATAATTTGCATATCAAGAGGAATTTAGCATATTTATGGTAAATGCAGATATGTGATTAGCACTACTTGTGAAATGCGTAGGAGGTTTGGCGAGGGGGTTTCAAAGTCATATTATGCCCGTGCATTATGCAGGATTAGCAGCATCAAAGGGAAGGGATAGGGGTAGAAACTGGGCTGTGGTCTCGCGTTGAGCGGTGGTGGCCGGTCTAACGACACACGATCTAACCTACTAGAATTCGTGAATTCTGGTAGGTTAGATCGCTCAATTAGTCTGCCGCGTTCACAAATGATTCGTTCAGTGTGAGACCGCAAAAAACAGCGGTGGCTTGCCAGATGTTAGCTACCTCGCCTGGTATACAGGAGGTCGTGGGTTCTATAGGAGATGTTAACTACCTCACCTGGTAAACAGGAAGTCGTGGGTTCTCTAGGAGATGTTAACTACCTCACCTGGTAAACAGGAAGTCGTAGATTATGTATGACGTTAACTCTTTTTCCTGGTATACAGGAGGTCGTGGGTTCTATAGGAGATGTTAACTACCTCGCCTGGTATACAGGAAGTTGTGGGTTCTATAGGAGATGTTAACTACCTCACCTGGTATACAGGAGGTTCTGGGTCGTGGTGCTGTGCTCTGCTGATCTCATCGTAATGTCTTTCTCGCTTTTTCCGCCCCGGATTCTCCCGATGTCGTGAATGACTCATCGCGGCTGGCCCGGTAACCTTTTTGTGCCCATACACTATTAAGCCAATTTCGATTTAAAGCTTTCGTGACTGCAGGGATTCATCTTCTTGGTTCTTTCGGTAAAGTGGCGTAGAAGGGAAATAATAAAATGATAAAAATAAAACATTATAAAGTAATTATCACGGCTGCTTGCGTGTTGTGGCCGAAACGTCGTGAGAATTATATTATTATGTTTTATTTTTATTATTTAATATTTCCCTTCTACGTGACTTTACCGAAAGAACCAAGAAGACTATTAAGCCAATTCAGGGGCACCGCGATCTAAATTGTCCTGCAAGGGTGGGCCAATCCCCTTGCACCGGGAAACCGTGGGACTCTACTTATAGGGACTCTTTGTTTAACACTTGTGAGGCTTTCGCGACCAATATTGTTCATAATCAACGTTTGTGGGTCAGATCGCGTTATTTGTAAATGTGTCGTAACCCTCCAACACCCGACACGGCCAATCAGTAAAAAAGTGTCACGTTGACAAAAGACAAAATAGTTCACTGCTTTAGCCCACCGGTGTGTTGAAGCGTGAAACCACGAATTGCCTGATGATGCTGGATGCAATTACCAGCGAAACGTCGTACAACTCAAATTGTAAATGTTGTGGTTTCACGCTTCAACACACCGGTGTGGGGGCTAAAGCGGTGAACTATTTTGTCTTTTGTCAGCGTGACGCTTTTTTACTGATTGGCCGTGTCGGGTGGTGGAGGGTTACGACACATTTATAAATAACGCGATCTAAACCCAAAAACGTTGATTATGAGAGACCCTTTGGATTGAAACCCATTATGCCAAGCAATCCCATTGCACTGCGTGTGAGTATTCAGTGTGGGGGGCCAGTGGGGGGGGGGGGGGTCACAGCGCTTGAGAGTATCTTTAAAGCTGTGGGACCATAGAATAGCATCTCCTAGCCACCGTGATGATAACACTGGTCAACAAAAAAAACATGTTTTTCTGGCCTGGACTTTTGCAGCTGTTCTCGACTAATTTCAGGGTGTTGATTCTAAATCTGATCTCAGATTTGCTCTATCACATCTCATTTTTATGCTATCAGCATACCCCATTTTCATAGATTTTACCCGAAATTAACTCTGTCACTTATGATTGCGAGTCAGTGACTGCTTTAGTGTTAAAATATGGTGCTGTATTTTTAGGATAGTGTGTTTATAATATAATTTTATGTAGATATCCACATTTATTTAATATTTTTCTTCCGCAGTTTTTATTGAAAATGCAATATTTGATATCTCAAAAACCTGATGTGATAGACAAAAACTGATGCCAGGTTTGGAATCAGCACCCCAAAATGACCTTATGAACTGTTGGAATACCTTATGCCAGAAAAAGTTTGTTGACCAGTGTAATTTAATCAATGAACGACTGCGTACCAAAACTGCATAGAGGCCTCCAACATAACACACGAATGGACACCCACCGTTCCCCAAACACCTTAACACTTTTAATAGCTGCACAACACACGTATACATAATGCCGTGCAATCATATTGTAATCACATTATATGCGGTAATCAGTACACACAATAGAAACGGTCGTTTTTACTTTCAAATTTCAGACTTCTTCACTTCTGTTTAAAGCTTTCGTGACTGCAGGGATTCATCTTCTTGGTTCTTTCGGTAAAGTCATCACGTAGAAGGGAAATAATCATTCAGACGCTGTCTTCCCGACAGACCTGTTCTTCACCTGAGGACGGCTGCTTGCGTTGTGGCCGAAACGTCGTGAGAATTATTTTATTTTGTTTTATTTTTATTATTTTATTACTTCCCTTCTACGTGATGACTTTACCGAAAGAACCAAGAAGATGAAGCCCAAAGAGTGTTAGGGGTTGGTGTCACGTAAACCAAACCTGCTGATTAGTTACTTAGTTCAGCAATTACCGGTGAGTGTGTGTGTGTTGGAGAGTAAACCCACGACAATATTTATAATTTCAGGCTAATCGCCTGACGAGGCTTCTGCTGCTGCCTGTTGTTCTTGTTGTAATCATTTGTGAAACGTCTCGTTAACTAGAATTGTTGCGGAATTTGCTCTCTGACACACACAGACCCATAGACTCTCCAGTGTAAGGAGTCTACGGGTCTCTGTGTGAGTCTATGGGTCTCTGTGTGAGTCTATGGGTCTCTGTGTGAGTCTATGTGTCTCTGTGTGAGTCTATGGGTATGTGTGAGTCTATGGGTCTCTGTGTGAGTATATGGGTCTCTGTGTGAGCCTATGGGTCTCTGTGTGAGTCTATGGGTATCTGTGTGAGCCTATGGGTCTCTGTGTGAGTCTATGGGTCTCTGTGTGAGTCTATGGGTCTCTGTGTGAGTCTATGGGTATTTATGAGTCTATGGGTCTCTGTGTGAGTCTATGGGTCTCTGTGTGAGTCTATAGGTCTCTGTGTGAGTCTATGGGTCTCTGTGTGAGTCTATGAGTCTCTGTGTGAGTCTATGGGTCTCTGTGTGAGTCTATGGGTCTCAGTGTGAGCCTATGGGTCTCTGTGTGAGTCTATGGGTCTCTGTGTGAGTCTATGGGTCTCTGTGTGAGTCTATGGGTTTCTGTGTGAGTCTATGGGTCTCTGTGTGAGTCTATGGGTCTCTGTGTGAGTCTATGGGTCTCTGTGTGAGTCTATGGGTCTCTGTGTGAGTCTATGGGTCTCTGTGTGAGTCTATGGGTTTTTGTGTGAGTCTATGGGTCTCTGTGTGAGTCTATGGGTCTCTGTGTGAGTCTATGGGTCTCTGCGTGAGTCTATGGGTCTCTGTGTGAGTCTATGGGTCTCTGTGTGAGTCTATGGGTCTCTGTGTGAGTCTATGGGTCTCTGTGTGAGTTTATGGGTCTCTGTGTGAGTCTATGCGTCTCTGTGTGAGTCTATGGGTCTCTGTGTGAGTCTATGAGTCTCTGTGTGAGTCTATGGGTCTCTGTGTGTGTCTATGGGTCTCTGTGTGAGTCTATGGGTCTCTGTATGAGTCTATGGGTCTCTGTGTGAGTCTATGGGTCTCTGTGTGAGTCTATGTGTCTCTGTGTGAGCCTATGGGTCTCAGTGTGAGTCTATGGGTCTCTGTGTGAGTCTATGGGTCTATGTGTGAGTCTATGGGTCTCTGCTGTGTGAGTCTATGGGTCTATGTGTGAGTCTATAGGTCTCTGCTGTGTGAGTCTATGGATCTCTGTGTGAGTCTATGGGTCTCTGTGTGAGTCTATGGGTCTCTGTGTGAGTCTATGGGTCTCTGCGTGAGTCTATGGGTCTCTGCGTGAGTCTATGGGTCTCTGCGTGAGTCTATGGGTCTATGTGTGAGTCTATGGGTCTCTGCTGTGTGAGTCTATGGGTCTATGTGTGAGTCTATGGGTCTCTGCTGTGTGAGTCTATGGATCTCTGTGTGAGTCTATGGGTCTCTGTGTGAGTCTATGGGTCTCTGTGTGAGTCTATGGGTCTCTGTGTGAGCCTATGGGTCTCTGTGTGAGTCTATGGGTCTCTGTGTGAGTCCATGGGTCTCTGTGTGTGTTTAATTTCTTTCGCACTATATGTAGCCAACGGTACTCTTGCTAATATGACTTCGTTTTCTGTTATACTGTTCCTAATTTGCCCGTAAATTTACCAATTTCTCCTGCTGTAATGCAAAGCTATAGATATCTCAAAACACTTCGTTCAGGGCTAGTAACCACTTGTTATTTTACCGGGTAAGATGCCACTGAGCTTCTATTTAGTAGTTATTTTCAGAAGTGACTTTGGCCATCACAAATGATCGCAGCTCAACGGAGTGGGATTATTATCATCATCATCATCATCAACGGCGTCAAATTTCGATTTAAAGCTTTCGTGACTGCAGGGATTCAACTTATTGGTTCTTTCGGTAAAGTCACGTAGAAAGGAAGTAATAAAATAATAAAAATAAAACAAATAAAACATAATAGAATAATTCTCACGACGTTTCGGCCACAACGCAAGCAGCCGTCCTCAGGTGAAGAACATGTCTTTCGATAAGACAGACTCTGTCTTATCGACAGACATGTTCTTCACCTGAGGACGGCTGCTGAGGACGGCTGCTTGCGTTGTGGCCGAAACGTCGTGAGAATTATTTTATTATGTTTTATTTTTATTATTTTATTACTTCCCTTCTACGTGACTTTACCGAAAGAACCAAGAAGATCAACGCCGTCGTGTGGACATTTCTTGCAGAAGCCAAATACTCTAAATGCCGTGACATTGATCCTAAATGTGGAGGAGAAAACCCCAAAGGACCCGGAGAAAAAATCCACGCGACCACGGGAGAGAGAGAGACACAGACTCCAAATATACAGCAGCAGGCATCGTCAGGGTCGGGATCAAACCCACGACCTCCTGTATACCAGGTGAGGTTGTTAACATCTCCTAGCCACCGTGATGATGATGAGAGAGAGAGAGACACAGACTCCAAATATACAGCAGCAGGCATCGTCAGGTTCGGGGTTAAACCCACGACCTCCTGTACACCAGGCGAGGCAGTTAACATATCCTAGCCACTGTGATGATGAGAGAGACGCCAACTCCCTCCCCTCCCTCCTGCATACCCCGAGTGTTTCTCTGAAGACGTTATTAATATTCATATTCTTAGGGGTTTTTTCCCGGTAAAGTCACGTAGGTAAAAACATTAAAAATTAAAAATAAAATAAAAATCACGACGTTTCGGAGGCAACACAAGCTTCCGTCTTCAGGTGGTACCGTCACAGCCACGACAGCCGTATCAAGTAAATGACGTTATTGATTTCAGTAGATGGTTTGGTTAATGAAGCTCAGGACCCTCCAGACCCTGTTGAACGTCGAGATCGGACCACAGGATCCACGTCCACCCACTCCCGTCACGTACTGTCGCCCATCCACCTCCTTGCAGAGCAGCGGCGAAGTGTGTTCCTGAAAGACAGAGACACAGATCCTCTAACTAACAAGACTGTCGGGGGCCAAGTGCTGTGGGGAGCGAGTCGCAGCACTGCCTATGAAGGCCGGCAAAGTGTGGGCACACGAGGTGTATGTCCCTGGTTCTGTGTTTGATCTCTCTCTCAAATGTAGCATTCTCAGGAAGAACGCAATCGACCAGGTAGGGTGTTGACTGTTGTGTTATCCGACTCTCTGTTGCATTACATTACATTTCTAAGTATACCAGATTTGTGTTTCTATTTCATTTATGTGTGTGTCTCTATGTATCTCTGTGATATCTGTCTCTGCTTATTTGTCTGTCTATATGTCTCTGGTTCTGTGTTATGTCTCTCTCTCAAATTTAGCTTTCTCAGGAAGAACGTAATCGACCAGGTAGGGTGTTGACTGTTGTGTTATCCGACTCTCTGTTGCATTACATTACATGTATAAGTCTACTAGATTTGCGTTTCTATTTCATTTATACCTGATGATGATTGCTTGTGTTGCAATCGAAACGTCGTATGCTAGTATTTAATTTCTTACTTTCTCTTTATACGTGACTTTACCGAAAGAACCAAAGAGTCATTCCTGCAGTCACGAAAGCTCCAAATTAAGTAAGTTGGAGGTGCTGCACATAGCTTTTACAATTGCCAGTGCACATTATACGGACGCTATTTGCATTTGCTGTACTCTACTGTTACAGTGACCACAGATGGCGTCTCTAATTCGAGTCTTAATCACGTGCAGCATTCCCCACGTGAGATTAGTTTGGCTTTACACCACCTCCTACCGTTGGCACAGCTCACAGCTCTCGAGGGGACGTTTTCAGTGAGTTTTTTTGGTGGCTTTTCTGGCTTCAAAATTTGGCTTAGCTGAGTCAGGGCGTGATCTGTGAAATACTGGATATCTGTGGAAACGAGATTCGTAGCTCATCGGATTCCTCCAGTATAAATAAATATCCTGCTTCTGATTCTGTCATGAGGTTGGGCTGTGTATGTGTGATTCAGAAATTATTCATTTGTGATTCGCGTGGCAGGTTGTGTAAGTCGCGGGTTCCATCCCAACCCTGACGCCGGGTGTAGTTTTAAATCCTTTATATTAAGTTCGCTTGCTTGCGTGCTTGCTTGCGCGCTTACGACCGTGCAAATCTTTCGGTCGTTTTTTAACCCACTTCCCGTGATCCAATCGAGTTGACATTTTGCACACAGACTCGTTGTGCGTGACAATGTATTTTCGTGAAATTTTTTTTCCAAAATTTGACACTTTTTAGGAAAAAATATATTTAATTACCAATTGCTTAATGGTGGCAGGCAATCATCTGACCCATAGGTGGCAGCCATCTCAAGCCAGAGGACGAGAGGACTCTAGCCGCCACGCATATAAAGGATTTATAGTGAAAAACTTTGTTTTTACGGGTTAATTTTATTGGAGTTTGCCAAAGAGTAATTGCTGCAGTCACGAAAGCTCCAAATTAAGTTTGGGGGTGGGTTGACAAATTTAACATGATAAAATAATTCTCACGACGTTTCGGCCACAACGCAAGCAGCCGTCCTCAGGTGGAGAACAGGTCTGTCGAGTAGACAGTCTTCTCGAAACGTCGTGAGAATTGTATTTTATTATGTTTTATTTTTATTATTTTATTATTTCCACTCTACGTGACTTTACCGAAAGAACCAAGAAGATATTAACAGACTGCAGGGACAAGTGTTGTTAGTAGCGAGTAGCAGTAGCAGCTACACAAAAAGGTCCCCCAGGTAGCCTCTGACAGACTGCAGGGGCAGGTGCTGTAAGTAGCGAGTAGCAGCAGCAGCTACACAAAAAGGTCCCCCATGTAGCCTCTGACAGACTGCAGGGGCAAGTGCTGTAAGTAGCGAGCAGCAGCTACACAAAGACAAAGGTCCCCCAGGTAGCCTCTAACAGACCGCAGGGGCAAGTGCTGTTAGCAGCGAGTAGCAGCAGCAGCAGCACTGCCTATTAAGGCCTGGCACGGCCATTTGTATTATAACGGATCATATTGGTCAAGAAAGCCGACTCCGTGTGAAACTTACGCGACATCTGCGCCACGCGTGCGTCGCTTGTGTTCTAGAGCTGTCCTACAAATGTACGGTCTCAGAAGACCATGGAATCATGAGACATCACTTCATTCGATTGGCGACTAAGCGACGCCACCACGGCGCCTGTGCCAGGCCAGGTGCACTTTGAGGCTATCACGTGAAAATCGAAGGCTCGGTAGCAGGAGGTCTCGGGACAGAACCCAGCAGGTGCCATGGGTTGGCTGACTTATGTGCCAGGCTAGGTGCAGGAGGTCTCGGGACAGAACCCAGCAGGTGCCATGGGTTGGCTGACTGAGATGACCGGTAGATGCACCACCAGCTGTACCCCCCTACTGTGCCAGGCTAGGTGCAGGAGGTCTCGGGACAGACCCCAGCAGGTGCCATGGGTTGCCTGACTGAGATGACTGGTAGATGCACCACACCAAGCTATACCCCCCTACTGTGCCAACTTGCTCCCGTTTAGCCCGCCCGGCGCTCCACTCGTTGTTGTGAGCATCGCTCCTCTGCCCTCCGTTCTTGCAGGAGGGCGACTGCCTCCAATTGCCCAGCAGCAGCGTCCTTCGATTTAAACTCACACACACACACCCAGGGCATCTCCGCTTACCCCACACATGTCGTAGGAGGCACAGAGTTTTCTGCTGGTCACCGTGGCGTTGAACACGACCTGGCATTCACTCTGCTCCATGATGCTCACGCGGTTTGAAACGGCGGAACCTGGACACCAAACACACAACACACGACGTTCGGTCAAGATCGTTACATTCAATCCATTTCACGTCAAATGTTACTGTTGCCATTGGAACGGGGGTGGGGTGGTTGACGGAGCGGATTGCACGGCAGGTTTGATTCCCAGCCACCCGGTCTCACAGGAGATGTTAACTACCTCGCCTGGTATACAGGAGGTCGTGGGTTCGATCTCGACCCTGACGATGCCTGCTGCTGTATATTTCAAGTCTGTGTCTCTCTCACCATCATCATCAGCATCACAGTGGCTAGGAGATGTTAACTACCTCGCCTGGTATACAGGAGGTCGTGGGTTCGATCCCGACCCTGACGATACCTGCTGCTGCTGCTGTATATTTGGAGTCTGGGTCTCTCTCATCATCATGGTGGCTAGGAGATGTTAACTACCTTGCCTGGTGTGCAGGAGGTCGTGGGTTCGATCCTGACCATGACGATGCCTGCTGCTGCTGCTGTATATTTGGAGTCTGGATTGGATGGCCACCACAAAGCTCTCCCCTGGGCCGACTAAATTTTTCTCCACCCCCCCCCCCTCCCCCATTGCTGATGATGATGATGACCTCCACAATAGGCGGCCGACTGTGTGCCACTCTCTCGCGTTCGCGTCTCTAGCGGCGATCCGATGCAGTGCTTCCCGAACCGCAGAAGGCGTTTAACGCGAGCGAGAGACAAACGGGGCAAACAGAAACCGGACGGAGGGACGGACGCATGAAGGGACGGACGGACCAAAGGATGGACGGACGAAAGAATGGACAAACAGAGGAAGGGTCAGATGAACGAAGGAACGAACGAAGGGCATGCCAAACAGAGGGAGTGGCAGATGAACGAAGGAACGAACGAAGGGAATGACAGACAGAGGGAGTGACAGATGGACGAAGGAACGAATGGAGGGAATGACAAACAGAGGGAGTGACAGATGAATGAAGGAACGAATGGAGGGAATGACAAACAGAGGGAGTGACAGATGAACGAAGGGACGAACGAAGGGAATGACAGACAGAGGGAGTGACAGATGAACGAAGGAACGAATGGAGGGAATGACAGACAGAGGGAGTGACAGATGAACGAAGGAACGAATGGAGGGAATGACAGACAGAGGGAGTGACAGATGGACGAAGGAACGAATGGAGGGAATGACAAACAGAGGGAGTGACAGATGAATGAAGGAACGAATGGAGGGAATGACAAACAGAGGGAGTGACAGATGAACGAAGGGACGAACGAAGGGAATGACAGACAGAGGGAGTGACAGATGAACGAAGGAACGAATGGAGGGAATGACAGACAGAGGGAGTGACAGATGAACGAAGGAACGAATGGAGGGAATGACAGACAGAGGGAGTGACAGATGAACGAAGGAACGAATGGAGGGAATGACAGACAGAGGGAGTGACAGATGAATGAAGGAACGAATGGGGGGAATGACAAACAGAGGGAGTGACAGATGAACGAAGGGACGAACGAAAGAATGGACTGACATACAGAGGGAGTGACAGATGGACGAAGGAACGAATGGAGGGAATGACAGACAGAGGGAGTGACAGAGGAACGAAGGAACGAATGGAGGGAATGACAGACAGAGGAAGTGACAGATGAACGAAGGGATGAACGAAGGGATGAACGAAGGGAATGACAGACAGAGGGAGTGACAGATGAACGAAAGAACGAATGAAGGGAATGACAGACAGAGGGAGTGGCAGATGAACGATGGGACGATTGGAGGGAATGACAAACAGAGGGAGTGACAGATGAACGAAGGAACGAATGGAGGGAATGACAAACAGAGGGAGTGACAGATGAACGAAGGAACGAATGGAGGGAATGACAAACAGAGGGAGTGACATATGGATGAAGGAACGAACGGAGGGAATGACAGACAGAGGGAGTGACAGATGAACGAAGGAACGAATGGAGGGAATGACAAACAGAGGGAATGACAGATGGACGAAGGAACGAACGAAAGAATGGACTGACAGACAGAGGGAGTGGCAGATGAACGAACGAACGGATGAAGGGACATACAAACAGAGGCAGTGACAGATGAACGATGGGACGAACGGACACAAAACGCTTGCTACCTCTGACCGAGCAGGATTTGCCCGGCAGAGGCACTTGCTGAAGACGGTGGGGCAGGCACGCGGGCCGGATCTGGTCCGACAGGCTGACGGTGGTGACCAGGCGCACCAGGGCCACGTCATAGTCCCACGTGGAGGCGTTGAACTTGGGGTGCTGAGCGATGCTCCCGAGGCTGTAGTTGGTGTAGCCAGTGTTGTTGTTGAACTCGGCGAGCCAGTCGCCCGGAATCAAAGACCTGCAGCGAGAACATTGAGACGCTCCAGTCACGTTGTCCGCCGGTGACAATTCGGAAGAGTGTGTCTGTGTGTGTGTCTGTGTGTGTGTGTCTGTGTGTGTGTGTGTCTGTGTGTCTGTGTGTGTGTCTGTGTGTGTGTGTCTGTGTGTGTGTGTCTGTGTGTGTGTGTCTGTGTGTGTGTGTCTGTGTGTGTGTCTGTGTGTTGTGTCTGTGTGTGTGTCTGTGTGTGTGTCTGTGTGTGTGTGTCTGTGTGCGTCTGTGTGTGTGTGTCTGTCTGTGTGTGTGTGTCTGTGTGTGTGTCTGTGTGTGTGTGTCTGTGTGTCTGTGTGTGTGTGTCTGTGTGTGTGTCTGTGTGTCTGTGTCTGTGTGTCTGTGTGTCTGTGTGTCTGTGTGTGTGTGTGTGTCTGTGTGTGTGTGTCTGTGTGTGTGTGTCTGTGTGTGTGTGTCTGTGTGTGTGTCTGTGTGTGTGTTTGTGTGTGTGTGTCTGTGTGTGTGTCTGTGTGTGTGTCTGTGTGTCTGTGTCTGTGTGTGTCTGTGTGTGTCACTGTGGGTGTGTCTGTGTGTGTGTGTGTGTGTCACTGTGTGTGTGTGTCTGTGTGTGTGTCTGTGTGTGTGTCTGTGTGTAGGGGGCACAGGTGGTGCATCAGCCAGTCATCTCGGTCATCTCGGTCAGTCGACCCGTGGCACCTGCTGGGTCTGCCCCGTGACCTCCTGCCAGCGGGCGTTCGACACTTCACGTGGTAGCCTCAAGGTGCACTTGGCCTGGCACAAGCGTCGTGGTGACGTCACCGCCACTTAGTGGCGAATGGCGGTTGTTGTTGTTGATGTAGGTGTGTGCCTCAGATGAGTACTTGGTGCGATGTGTAAAGATCGCCAATAGGGAGACAAAGGCGGCCGGGCTTGGTGTTGGCCACTCACCCACTCGTGTGCCGTGCCGGCCTTCATAGGTGCTCGCTAACAGCACTTGCCCCTACAGTCTGTTACAGGCTATACGGGGGATCTTTGTCGCTGTCTTCTTCTGCTCGTGTGTGTGTCTGTCTCAACCCCTGACCTCCTCGCTTGGTGCCTGACTGCAACGCTGCGATGGATGTCAGCAATGCCAGGGAGGGAATGGCCAATTCGAAACTCAGCTTTTTCCCATCATGATGCTTGTAGCCACCACAGCGTCAAAAGGAGGGACGTTTGAAAAGGCCTGGTAACCCCTCCACCTTCAACACAAGAACCACTACAAAACGTGTTCAAAATGTGACTCAGCTTGTGCCAGAAGCCCCGGAGGTACAGGCCTCTATGACGTCTCCTGGCCAAACCCCATTTGGCGGAGCCAGGAGACTGATTCCACACCCTCGGGGTTTATCCAGAAACGGCAAAAAGCCACTGCGGGTAGCCACGTGGAATAGTGTATTGGTTTGGCCATGTTTGTTTGTTGTAGTACAGAGTTAGACTGATGGCCTTAATCTAAGTTGTCTTGTGGTTGTTGTTGTTGTTTGACTTGCATTCCACTGAGATTTTTGCACATAGCGTTGGTGTGTAACGGTAATTTTTCTGCAATATTTTGCTGTCTTTTCTTGGATTTTCTGTTTGCACTCAGTCACATATTCACTTTAAGATGTTTTTTGTTCATGTTTTTTGTTTGTTGCGGTTGCACCCGATTCAAGAGCCGAATGGCTCACAAGGCTATGCCTAATAAATGTACTTGAACTTGATGTTCGAATGCTCACTGCAGAGGAGAGGCTGCTACTCCTTTTCCGGGAGCTGGAACGGTACTGCCTGGGTCTCTGTTGTATTCAGGTCGGGTGGACTGGCTCTTGCTCCAGTCACCATGAGGGGGGACAGTCCTCTACTCGGTGCAGACGACTGCCAAACAACAGGGAGTGGCTCTTCTTTTGAACCAAAGAATGAAGGGGGCGTGGGAGCGTGGCAGTGAGGTGTGGGAAGCTGTAAGCCCCAGGCTACTGTGGGCTCGCCTTCCCATCAACCAGAGGCGAGGACTAGTGGTGGTGGTTACTTATGCCCCTACCGAAGATGAACATCAGTGGAGGGATGCAGGCAAGGCCCATGAGTCAGATGCCTTCGATAACCTCCAATCACAGGTGCTGACTCTAGTGGCTTCTCAGGCTACAGTCATCTTGTTGGGTAACTTTAATGACCGAGTTGGTCATGATGCTGGCACCTTGACTGGGGTGATTGGAAGGCATGGGCCAGATCAGCTCCATATAGGATCCCATTTAAAACACAGTGGCCTGATCTCAGCTAGCTGATGAAAGTTGCAAGCGAGAAGTTGATCATCGCTTGCAGCCGGGTTGGCATCATCCCTCCCTCCTCCTGATGCTGAGGGGAAATGGGCAATATTTAGGACTGTGGCTCATGCAGCTGCAATGGCTGATTTGGGTACACCTCGCAGAGATGCTGGCTGACAGATGAGGTGTTCTGGCTGGCTGAGAGTAGGAGTTGGAGGTGCTGCTGCTGAACCTGGAGCTTGCCACGAAGAGTTGGGGCCTTACCATCAGCCCCACCAAAACTAAGCACCTGCCTGGGTATTTTGTACCATCGGACACTCCACCCCCACAACTCCCAATTGGTGATGGGGCAGTTGTGGAGAGAGTGGAGAGTTTTCCATACCTGAGCAGTGTGCACATGAAGAGCTCCGGTTTGACAGTCTTATTCTGAATTTTCATCGGCTGTGTAACGCTGTGTGGAAGCTATCCGGTCTGTCACTCCACACGAAGCTTCGGGTATTCTGGGCCACAGTCATGCCCTCCCTTCTCTATGCTTGTGTAATGTGATGATATATCCGGCTCACTGACGTATCACAACTCGTTACGATGATTGGCTCTGCTGGTCCTGGTCCATAGCCAATGGGGGGAAGCCTAGGGGCGTGGCCCTGACGTAATGGGAAGGTGACAGCTGTGAGTAGAGGATTGGTTCTGCTGGCTTTGGCCACAGCCAATGGGGAGACGAGTCAGGGGCGTGGTCCTGACGTCACGGGAAGGTGACAGCTGCAAGTAGATGATTGGTTCTGCTGGCTTTGGCCACAGCCAATGGGGAGACGAGTCAGGGGCGTGGTCCCGTCAGCCTACGAGGGAGTCTGGAAGATTCCATAGAGGCTAACCAGGATTGGTGGAAACGTACCACGTGGCCCGGGTCTTAAATAGGGGTGGAGATGAACGACACGTGGTCAGAACTGGAACGAACGGAGCAGGAGGCCACGCGGGAGCGGGGCTCCAAGTTGCCACGTGGTCCAGGCTGCCACGTGGTCCAGGCTGCCACGTGGTGCAGGCTGCCACGTGGTCCAGGCTGCCACGTGGCTGCGTGCATCTCCCTCTCTTTCTATCTCCCTCACGCTGCCTGTCAGCAGCGTGAGGGAGAGCTGTAATGAAAAGTGAATAAGAGACCGAATTCCAGAAGTCGCCTCAACGACCTTTCATACTCCTTTTTTTCTTCTTGGTTCTTTCGGTAAAGTCACCACGTAGAAGGGAAGTAATAAAATAATAAAATAATAAAACACAATAAAATAATTCTCACGACGTTTCGGCCACAACGCAAGCAGCCGTCTTCAGGTGAAGAATGAGACACTGCCAAGCTTGGAGCGTCTATATAAGCTGGGTTGGGGGTGCAAGAAGAGCGCCTTGACAAAAGAACGTGCATATCAAGAGGAATTTAGCATATTCATGGAAAATGCGTAGGAGGTGGGCGGGGGGGTTTCAAAGTCATATTATGCCCGTGCATTATGCAGGATTATCAGCATCAAAGGGAGGGGGTAGGGGGTAGAATTAACAAAGGGAGGGAATGTTAATAGTATGTAGGACCTTTATCACACTTGTAAAACGTGGAACCCCTGAATGGAACATTTTTGGCAGTTAGAAACATTTGGGCCAGCCTGCATATGATCCATCCTTAGAGCTCACCTGTCATATTATAGCTCAAATTATGTATTATAGCTCAAATGTTATACTGGTAGGAACGAAGTGAACCCGCCTACAATAGATTATATCGTCCGTCCGTCCGTCCGATGTCCGATTAGGTGTAGCAACATCGCCCCCTACTGCAAACACTTGGCAGGACCCTACAAAAACCTTTACACTCAGTGAGGCTTTCCTGGCTAAACAAGTGTAACATTCCCTTATAATTCCCTGAGATAGTTTTAAATAAAACCATTTCAATTAAAAATTAACTCACAGCGGCCTAAAGCCTACAGCTAGGCCTAAAGCCTAGAACTAGGCCTCAAACTCTCCCTTCGTATCGTACCCCCGCCATTTCATTTTATTATAGCCATTCATTTGTTCGTTCCTACCAGCCCACCCCGCAGGGTCCTGTTAAAATGTTATATTGAAGCTCACCTGTTATTGAAGCACGAGGCAGTGGTGATGAGCCACTGTGGGCTGATGAGAGTGGCTTCGCACACAGGATTGCTCGCTCCCAGGTAGAGCAGAGCGGACCACGGATTCGCCCACCCCCCCGTCTCCACTCCGCAGTCTGCAGGAGGGGAAACCAGAACGAGGCAGTTCAACATGAAGGCTCGCTGTCCGGTCACCTGACGAAGCTGCTGCTGCTGCTGCTGTTTGTTGTTGTTAATTACCGGCCAAGCGTCACATTAACTGGAATTGTTGTGGACTTTTACTGTCCAACATACACTCCAGTTAGTGCTTGACTAAGTAACTTATTGGCATGCTTTGTCATCATCATCATCGTCATAGTCATCATTATCATCGTCATCATCATCATCGTCATCATCATCGTCATCATCATCATCATCATCGTCATCATCATCATCGTCATCATCATCATCATCGTCGTCATCATCGTCATCATCATCATCATCATCGTCGTCATCATCATCATCGTCATCATCATCGTCATCATCATCATCATCGTCATCATCATCATCGTCATCATCATCGTCATCATCATCATCATCATCGTCATCATCATCATCGTCATCATCATCATCATCGTCGTCATCATCGTCATCATCATCATCATCGTCGTCATCATCATCGTCATCATCATCGTCATCATCATCATCATCGTCATCATCATCATCATCGTCATCATCATCATCATCGTCATCATCATCATCGTCATCATCATCATCGTCGTCATCATCATCATCGTCATCATCATCGTCATCATCATCATCATCATCGTCATCATCATCGTCATCATCATCGTCCTCATCATCATCGTCATCATCATCATCGTCATCATCATCATTATCATATCGTCATTATCATCATCATCGTCATCATCATCATCGTCATCATCATCATTATCATATCGTCATTATCATCATCATCGTCATCATCATTGTCGTCATCATCATCGTCATCATCGTCGTCATCATCGTCATCAACATCATCGTCATCATCATCATCACACGAGACACTGGGATGCCACTGGATGCTTCTAGATGCTACTTGGTCTATATTCCGGCACTGTGTTACGCATCATCTCACACGCTATCGCAGACTGCCCTGTATACCCCCTAAATTATATATTATTTACTATTACAACGTCATTCTGTCCATAGCATTGGTGTTCGTCAGGAACGCAACCACTACCGCCGCCACATTATAGGAAAACAGGACTGCATTCTTGTAGTCTACCGATATCACCGTCATTAATTGTTCATTCTCGATGGTAAGCTCCTCACTCACCTTGGTTGGTCCGTGTCGCAGCAACGTACAGGTAGCTGACGTTGAATCCACGACCTTAGGGAGATTTTAGAGAGAAAACGTGGAGCTTTAGTAAATCACTTTCATCCGTCGGTCCATTTGACAGGAGCCAGTCAGTGACATCAAGGCGCTAGGAGACGTTGACTACCTCGCCTGGTATGCCGTGGGTTCGATCCCGAGTGATAGCGGTAGTGATAGTCGTAGCTATAGGGGTAGCGATAGGGGTAGTAATAGGGGTAGTAATAGGGGTAGTGATAGGGGTAGTGATAGGGGTAGTGATAGTGGTAGTGATAGGGGTAGTGATAGGGGTAGGGGTAGTGATAGGGGTAGTGATAGTGGTAGTGATAGGGGTAGTGATAGTGGTAGTGATAGGGGTAGTGGTAGGGGTAGTGATAGCGGTAGTGATTGGGGTAGTAATAGGGGTAGTGATAGGGGTAGTGATAGGGGTAGTGACAGGGGTAGTGATTGGGGTAGTAATAGGGGTAGTGATAGGGGTAGTGATAGGGGTAGTGATAGTGGTAGTGATAGGGGTAGTGATAGGGGTAGTGGTAGGGGTAGTGATAGCGGTAGTGATTGGGGTAGTAATAGGGGTAGTGATAGGGGTAGTGATAGGGGTAGTGACAGGGGTAGTGATTGGGGTAGTAATAGGGGTAGTGATAGGGGTAGTGATAGGGGTAGTGATAGTGGTAGTGATAGGGGTAGTGATAGGGGTAGTGATTGGGGTAGTAATAGGGGTAGTGGTAGTGATAGTGATAGGGGTAGTAATAGGAGTAGTGATAGTGGTAGCGATTGGGGTAACGATCGGAGTAGCAATAGTGGTAGTGATAGGAGTAGTGATAGTCATAGTGATAGGAGTAGCAATAGTGGTAGTGATAGTCATAGTGATAGTGGTAGTGATAGTCATAGTGATAGGAGTAGCAATAGTGGTAGTGATAGTCATAGTGATAGTGGTAGTGATAGGAGTAGTGATTGGGGTAACGATAGCCACTGCTGACATCATCTCTGTCCCCGTGACAGTGTCGTGCTGACACAACCACCACCGCCACCACCGCCACCACCGCCACCATCGCCACCACCGCCACCACCACCGCCGCCACCATCGCCACCACCGCCACCGCCGCCACCACCACCACTACCACCAGCAGAGCCACCACCGCCACCACCGCCATCAGAGCCACCACCGCCACCACCACCACCATCACCACCACCATCACCGCCACCACCACCACCACCACCACCACCGCCACCACCACCACCACCGCCACCATCACCACCACCGCCACCACCACCACCACCACCATCGCCACCACCACCACCATCACAACCACCACCGCCGCCACCACCATCACTGCCACCACCACCACCGCCACCACCGCCACCACTAAGTTACCCTCCAGGGGCCCCGTGGAGTTGAGCACCAGGCTGAGGCTTTGCCCCGTCGACTTGAGGCTGTGGGGCGGCACGGATCCGCGCCCCGTGCCGCACAGAACGACCAGGGACTCCGGGTCACCGCTGCCGGGCTCACCGTCCAGCACCGTCAGGCTCTCGTTCACGCACGACGAGTGGTTCATGAGGCTGTCGGTGGGGTGGGAGGGGAGTAGAAAGTTGGAGGTCGCAACCAGGTACCCGATACCCGTACCCTACCCAATACCCGTACCCGGCCAGGTACGGGTAGAAGTTTGCGACCCTGGTGCGGCCGGGTACGGGTACGGGTAGGCCGTGAGTCACTGGTGAGTCACCGTTTGTCACTCATTTCGGGTAGGGTACGGGTACGGGTAGGGAACGGGAACCTGTACCCGGCCGGGTACGGGGACGGGTACCTATTTGTGACCCTGGTGTGGCCGGGTACGGGTACGGGTAAGGAATCAAAACCCGTTTGCGACCTCTGCCAGACGGTCACCCGCATCTTCATCATCATCTTCGTCGTCGTCGTCACGAGGCCTTTTAAACTAACTAGATCAATGTGGACGACGCTTCGGGCCAATGACCATCGCCGGTTCTCCTCGAGGGAGCTGTCAACCAACATCGTCAACATCATCATCAGCACCAGCAGCAGCTGTTTGTCTGCTGGCCATCAAATGAAGTCAAGATTGGCGGTTCAATGGTTATTGGCGGGAAGACACTGTAGCTAAAGACGACACGTGGTTAACGAGAGACAAGTCAGTTAAAGGATGATTGACAGGAAGACACTGTAGCTAAAGACGACACGTGGTTAACGAGAGACAAGTCAGTTAAAGGATGATTGACAGGAAGACACTGTAGCTAAAGACGACACCTGGTGGCTAATACTGGTAGGAACCTCCTGGTTACACCAGCCCACAGGGGATTATTGTGTCCGTCCGTCGTGCATCCAAAAATGGGAGGGGTAGGGCTGGGTGGAGAGGGGAGGGAGGGGCTGGGTGGGGAGGGTGGGGAGGGGCTGGGTGGGGAGGGGACGGTGGGGAGGGGCTAGGTGGGTAGAGTGGGGAATGGCTGGGTGGGGAGGGGAGGGAGGGGCTGGGTGGGGAGGGTGGGGAGGGGCTGGGTGGGGAGGGTGGGGCTGGGTGGGAGGGGTGGGGCTGGGTGGGGAGGGGCTGGTCACCCCGTGGTGCCCTTATAAAACTCAACGTTTAACCTACTCACGCCGGCTTGTGCCCGCCCTCACAGACGGCCATCTGGTCCAACACCATGTGAGACTAGGCTCTAAGGAAAGCTGTCTCGGGTGTGGACCAATCAACTTCAAGGACAGTGCATGCATTATCAGAGTTATGTTTTTTGTTTGCATTATGACTGCAGGTATTGTGGTCAACGCAAACATGACTCCTTGTAAAAAAAAAAAGTGTCATTTGTGTTGCCAGATATAAGGGTAAAAAAAACTATTATCATATTTTGCTACTGGCAAATGAGCTTCCAATGGGGAACACCAATCATAGTAAACAACAACAACAACAACGATACATACTTGAGCCACTCGAACTTGACCTTGATGACGTAGGGCGCCACCGTGTGGATGACAAACGAGAACTCGACGGCTCGGTCGCTCGGCACGAAGTCGGTCGAGGCGAAGGTGCCGCTGCCATTGTGGAAGTGAACTACGTCTGCGGTGGGTAAGAGAGACGTGGAGTAGGGAGAGAGGGGGTAGAGAGAGGGGTGGGGGGTAGAGAGAGAGGGGGTAGAGAGAGGGGGTATAGAGAGACGTGGAGTAGGGAGAGAGGGGGTAGAGAGAGGGGTGGGGGTAGAGAGAGGGGGTAGAGAAAGGGGGGGGGGGGTAGAGAGAGAGGGGGTAGAGAGAGAGGGGGTAGAGAGAGGGAGTAGAGAGAGGGGGTAGAGAGAGGGGGGGCAGAGAGAGGGGGTTAGAGAGAGGGGGTAGAGAGAGGGGGTAGAGAGAGGGGGGGGTAGAGAGAGGGGGGGCAGAGAGAGGGGGGGGGGGGTAGAGAGAGGGGGTAGAGAGAGGGGGTAGAGAAAGGGGGGGGATAGAGAGAGGGGGTAGAAAGAGGGGGGTAGAGAAAGGGGGGGGGGGTAGAGAGAGGGAGTAGAGAGAGGGGGGGGGGGTAGAGAGAGGGGGTAGAGATAGGGGGTAGAGATAGAGGGTAGAGAGAGAGAGAGGGTAGAGAGAGGGGGTAGAGAGAGAGAGGGGGTAGAGAGGGGGGGGGGGTAGAGAGAGAGGGGGGTAGAGAGAGGGGGGGGGTAGAGAGAGAGGGGGTAGAGAGAGGGGGGGTAGAGAGAGGGGGTAGAGAGAGGGGTGTAGAGAGAGGGGGTTAGAGAGAGAGAGGGGGTAGAGAGGGGGGGTAGAGAGAGAGGGGGGTAGAGAGAGGGGGGGGGTAGAGAGGGGGGGGGGTAGAGAGAGAGGGGGTAGGAGAGAGGGGGGGTAGAGAGAGGGGGTAGAGAGAGGGGGGAGAGAGAGAGAGGGGGTAGAGAGAGGGGGGTAGAGAGAGGGGGGTAGAGAGAGGGGGTAGAGAGAGGGGGTAGAGAGAGGGGGTAGAGAGAGGGGGGGTAGAGAGAGGGAGGGGAGAGAGAGGGGGTAGAGAGAGGGGGAAGAGAGAGGGGGTAGAGAGAGGGGGTAGAGAGAGGGGGTTAGAGAGAGGTGGGGGGGGGGGGTTAGAGAGAGGGGGTTAGAGCGAGGGGGTAGAGAGAGAGGGGGGTTGGTAGAGAGAGGGGGGTGTAGAGAGAGGGGGGGTTAGAGAGAGGGGGTAGAAAGATGGGGTAGAGAGAGGGGGAGGGTAGAGAGAGGGGGTAGAGCGAGGGGGTAGAGAGAGAGGGGGGTAGAGAGAGGGGGGTAGTAGAGAGAGGGGGAGGGGTAGAGAGAGGGGGGGGTAGAGAGAGGGGGTAGAGAGAGGGGGGGTAGGAGAGGGGGGGGGGGGGGTAGAGAGAGAGGGGGTAGAGAGGGGGGGGGGTAGAGAGAGAGGGGGTTAGAGAGAGGGGAGGGGTAGAGAGAGGGGGGGTTAGAGAGAGGGGGTAGAGAGAGAGGGTGTAGAGAGGGGGGGGGGTTAGAGAGAGAGGGGGTAGAGAGAGGGGGGGGTAGAGAGAGGGGGTAGAGAGAGGGTGTAGAGAGAGAGAGGGTGGTAGAGAGGGGGGGGGTAAGAGAGAGGGGGTGGTAGAGAGAAAGGGGGGTAGAGAGAGGGGGGGTAGAGAGAGAGGGGGGTTAGAGAAAGGGGGGGGGTTAGAGAGAGGGGGTAGAGAGAGAGGGGGTAGAGAGAGGTGGGGGGGGGGTTAGAGAGGGTGGGGTAGAGAGAGGGGTAGAGAGAGGGGGTAGAGAGAGAGAGGGGGTAGAGAGGGGGGGGGGGTAGAGAAAGGGGGGGTAGGGGTAGAGAGAGGGGGTAGAGAGAGAGGGGGGTAGAGAGAGGGTGGGGGGGGTAGGAGAGGGGGGGGTAGAGAGAGGGGTAGAGAGAGGGGGTAGAGAGAGAGGAGGGGGTAGAGAGAGGTGGGGGGGGGTAGAGAGGGGGGGGTAGAGAGAGGGTAGAGATAGGGGGTAGAGAGAGAGAGGGGGGTAGAGAGAGAGAGGGGGGTAGAGAGAGAGAGGGGGTTGAGAGGGGGGGGGGGTAGAGAGAGAGTGGTAGAGAGAGGGGGGGGTAGAGAGAGGGGGTAGAGGAGAGGGGGTAGAGAGAGGGGGGGGGTAGAGAGAGGGGGTAGAGAGAGGGGGTAGAGAGAGGGGGTAGAGAGAGAGAGGGGGTAGAGAGGGGGGGGGTAGAGAGAGAGGGGGTAGAGAGAGGGGGGGGGTTAGAGAGAGAGGGGGTAGAGAGAGAGGGGGTAGAGAGAGGGGGTAGAGAGAGGGGGTAGAGAGAGAGAGGGGGTAGAGAGGGGGGGGGGGGGTTAGAGAGAGAGGGGGTAGAGAGAGGGGGGGGGGGTAGAGAGGGGGGGGGGGGTAGAGAGAGAGGGGGGTAGAGAGAGGGGGGGTAGAGAGAGGGGGTAGAGAGAGGGGGTAGAGAGAGAGAGGGGTAGAGAGGGGGGGGGGGTAGAGAGAGAGGGGGTAGAGAGAGAGGGGGTAGAGAGAGGGGGGGTAGAGAGAGAGGGGGTAGAGCGAGGGGGTAGAGAGAGGGGGGGGGGTAGAGAGAGGGGGTAGAGAGAGGGGGGGTAGAGAGAGGGGGTTAGAGAGAGGGGGGGGTTAGAGCGAGGGGGTAGAGAGAGGGGGTAGAGAGAGGGGGGGTAGAGAGAGGGGGGTAGAGAGAGGGGGTAGAGAGAGGGGGTAGAGAGGGGGGGTAGAGAGAGGGGGTAGAGAGAGGGGGGGTAGAGAGAGGGGGTAGAGAGGGGGGGGTTAGAGCGAGGGGGGTAGAGAGAGGGGGTAGAGAGGGGGGGGGTAGAGAGGGGGGGTAGAGAGAGGGGGTAGAGAGAGGGGGGTAGAGAGGGGGGGTAGAGAGAGGGGGGGTAGAGAGAGGGGGTAGAGAGAGGGGGGTTAGAGAGAGGGGGTAGAGAGGGGGGGTAGAGAGAGGGTGGTAGAGAGAGGGGGTAGAGAGAGGGGGGGTAGAGAGAGGGGGTAGAGAGAGGGGGTAGAGAGAGAGGGGGTGGAGAGCGAGGGGGTAGAGATGAGGGGGGAGAGAGAGGGGGGGTAGAGAGAGGGGGTAGAGAGAGGGGGTAGAGAGGGGGGGTAGAGAGAGGGGGGGGTAGAGAGAGGGGGTAGAGAGAGGGTGGTAGAGAGGGGGGAGAGAGGGGGGGTAGAGAGAGGGGGTAGAGAGAGGGGGTAGAGAGAGGGGGTAGAGAGAGGGGGGGGGGTAGAGAGAGGGGGGTAGAGAGGGGGGGGTAGAGAGAGAGGGGGATAGAGAGAGGGGGTAGAGAGAGGGGTAGGTAGAGAGAGGGGGTAGAGAGAGGGGGTAGAGAGAGGGGGTAGAGAGAGAGGGGGGGGTAGAGAGAGAGGGGGTAGAGAGAGGGGGTAGAGAGAGGGGGGGTGGGGTTAGAGAGAGGGGGGTAGAGAGGGGGGGGTAGAGAGAGAGGGGGTAGAGAAAGGGGGTAGAGAGAGGGGGGGTTAGAGAGAGGGGGTGGTAGAGAGAGAGGGGGTAGAGAGAGGGGGTAGAAAGAGGGGGGTGGTAGAGAGAGAGGGGAAGGGGTAAGAAGGAGAGCAGAGCGTGACATCTTTTGTGAAATCTTTCGTTTAAAAGGGGGCTCTTAAAGCAAAGCATTGAAAAAAAAATGGAAAAAACTAAATGATGAACGAAGAAAAGTGCCGACTACACCAAGCATCTTCTTGTTTCCTCTGATCGTAAAAAAAGAGAGAGCCATAGACTCACACAGAGAGCCATAGACTCACACAGAGAGCCATAGACTCACACAGAGACCCATAGACTCACACAGAGACCCATAGACTCACACACATAGACTCACACAGAGAGCCATAGACTCACACAGAGAGCCATAGACTCACACAGAGACCCATAGACTCACACACATAGACTCACACAGAGAGCCATAGACTCACACACATAGACTCACACAGAGACCCATAGACTCACACAGAGAGCCATAGACTCACACAGAGAGCCATAGACTCACACAGAGAGCCATAGACTCACACAGAGAGCCATAGACTAACACAGAGACCCATAGACTCACACACATAGACTCACACAGAGAGCCATAGACTCACACACATAGACTCACGCAGAGACCCATAACCTCACACACATAGACTCACACAGAGAGCCATAGACTCACACAGAGAGCCATAGACTCACACAGAGAGCCATAGACTCACACACATAGACTCAGACAGAGACCCATAGACTCACACAGAGACCCATATACTCACACAAAGACCGATAGACTCACACAGAGACCCATATACTTACACAGAGAGCTATAGACTCATGCAGAGATCCACAGACTCACACAGAGACCCATAGATTCACACAGAGACCCATAAACTCACACAGAGAGCCATAGACTCACAGAGAGACCGATAGACTCACACAGAGACCCATAGACTCACACAGAGAGCCATAGACTCACACAGAGACCCATAGACTCACACAGAGACCCATAGACTCACACAGACACCCATAGACTCACACAGAGATCCATAGACTCACACAGAGAGCCATAGACTCACACAGAGACCCATAGACTCACACAGAGACCCATAAACTCACACAGAGACCCATAGACTCACACAGAGACCCATAGACTCACACAGAGACCCATAGACTCACACAGAGAACCATAGAATTTGCTATAAAATCGATGTCTGTTTATATGATTGTGGTTATGGTTGTACTTTATTAATCCCTAATCTCAATGAAACAAGAAAAGGTAAAAAAATAAATATTAACAAAGAAATGTATTACAATACACTATTAGACATTATTGTAAAATAAAAAAGTCCACCCTATGCGTTAGTAAATTTTTTAATATTTCAGACAGAAAATTCGTTTTAAAATGTAGGTTTTTTTCTGGGGGGGGGGACCCCCAGAACCCCTAGAAGATTTGCCCCCCCCCCCCCAATGTTGACCCCATGGCTACGGCCTTGGGTCTACGACTATGTCAGTGCGTCTTCCTCAGCGCGTACCGAGTGGCGCTGTCGTCGTCGATATGGTCGTAGAATCTGTGAAGCACAAACGTCGCATTAACCACCGATCCCGTTCCAACACGACGATGAAAACGATGATTACCAGTTGAACACTTCGTAAAAATTGTTTTTTTCGGTAAAGTCACGTAGGTTTAGCACGTGGTAGCAGGCTTTCGCGACCAATATTGTTCTTAGTCAACGTTTTTGGGTTTAGATCGCGTCATTTATAAATGTGTCGTAACCCTCCACCACCCGACACGGCCAATCAGTAAATAAGTATAACCCGTAAAAACAAAGTTTGTCACTATAAATCCTTTATATGCGTGGCGGCTAGAGTCCTCTCGTCCTCTGGCTTGAGATGGCTGCCACCTATGGGTCAGATGATTGTCTGCCACCATTAAGCAATTGGTAATTAAATAAAAAAATTTGTCCTAAAAAGTGTAACATTTTGGAAAAAAAATTTCACGAACATTAATTGTCACGCACAACGAGTCTGTGTGGAAAATGTCAGCTCAATTGGATCACGGGAAGTGGGTTAAAAACGACCGAAAGATTTGCACGGTCCTAAGAAAGCAAGCAAGCACGCAAGCAAGTGAACTTAATATAAACGATTTAAAAAGTGTCACGTTGACAAAAGACAAATAGTTCACTGCTTTAGCCCCACATCGGTGTGTTGAAGCGTGAAACCACAACATTTACAATTTGAGTTGTACGACGTTTCGCTGGTAATTGCATCCAGCATCATCAGGCAATTCGCCATTCTGTGAACTATTTTGTCTTTTGTCAACGTGACACTTTTTTACTGATTGGCCGTGTCGGGTGGTGGAGGGTTACGACACATTTATAAATAACGCGATCTAACACCCAAAAACGTTGATTATGAAAGTCACGTAGGTAAAAAATTTAAATCAATAAAAGTAAAATAAAAATCACGACGTTTCGGAGGCAACACTAGCTTCCGTCTTCAGGTGGAACCGTCACAGCACGATTGCTGTATCAAGTAAAAGAGAAATTCTAATAGACCCGTTCTTGTATATGTAGCGGTGTAATTGTAAAGGCGTATTGGCACGAATGGCTAACAAACACAAGGTGCGTGGTTAGGGCCGTACACAGAGGAGGTGCTTACATCGACGTCCGCACCTGCATCCCCCACGGGACCCTCCCGGGGGCCAAGTGCTATAAAAGGTGGTGAGCCAGAGGGCTCGAGGTCGAGTGTCAGCTTTAACCAGCGAAGAGTGAAGACCAGCTAGAATAGGCCCCGGAGCTCCCCTGGCTCGCTGTCCTTGTCAGGACCGACTAGGGCAAGCCGGTGGCGTGGCCCCGAGAGCCCAGACTGATGTTCTTGTAAGAGCCGGTCTGGAGACTCAGGGTGCCGGGAATCCCAGCTTGACCAGGGCTGGGATAGATAGCCTCCCTTAGCTTCGTAGTGGAGGACCTGGGAGTAGGCTAGCCGGGTTAGACGTTGGGTCTCCCTGTTAGACGGGTGAAGGGGCCGATACCCCTTCAAGTGTTGTGTGTATCCCCGGCTCTGTAAATACGTTGGTGTTAATAAATAGGTGTGCCTCCAACGACGTCGTCTGAGCCTCCTGCAACTTACTAAGGTAGGCACCTGGATCGGAGTTTTGTATTATTGTTGTGAGGTTGGTGCGGCTGAGGCTGCTGCTACTTTTATTCATTTTAATTTTTACCTACGTGACTTTACCGAAAAAACATAAGAGTATGAATCCTTGCAGTCACGAAAGCTTCAAATCTAGGACTTCGTAGAAAGCTTTCGCGACCGATATTATCCATAGCAGAAGTTTTTGTTGGAGTTAGATCGCGTCAAATATAAATGTGTCGTTAAACCCGCCACCACCCGACACACACAGCCACTCAGTAAGGGGTTTGTAACGTGAACACAAACACTGACAATGAGTTACTTAGTTCAGCACTAACCGGTGTGTGTGTGTATTGGAGAGTAAACCCACTACAACATTTACATTCAGTAAGGGTGAGTCACGCAAACACAACATGACAATTAGTTACATAGTTCAGCACTGACCGGTGTGTGTGTATATTGGAGAGTAAACCCACTACAACATTCACAATTCGAGTTAACGTGACGTTTGCGTCAGTGATTACAACAACAGCAACAACAAAGCATCAAGCGACGAGCACCGACTTGTTGAGATGTCACTATGAGACCTCCTTTACCAGTGACAAAATATAGTAGTAGGTTTTTACCCTTTAAACTTGTACAAAACTGACACCTTTATACAAAGCATCATGTTTGCAATAACCGCAACACAAGCAGTCAAAATGCAAACAAAAATAAACAACTTTGATGATGATAATGATATACACACCAATGGAGACTAGGCTCTAAGAAAAGCTGTCTCGGGTGTGGACCAATCAACTTCAAGGACAGTGCATATCATTATCATCATCAGAGTTGTTTCTTTTTGTTTGCAATTTGACTGCTTGTGTTGTGGTTATTGCAAACATGATGCCTTGTATAAAGGTGTCAGTGTTGTACCAGTTTAAAGGGTAAAAATCTACTACTATTTGTTGAGACGTCTTTCCTGTTGTAAGGCCCCCACTGACTTGCTACGTAGTGGATATTTTACTGGTAGGAACCTCCTGGTTACACCAGCCCACAGGGGATTATTGTGTCCGTCCGTCGTGCAGGGAGGGGCTGGGTGGGGATGGAGGGGCTGGGTGGGGATGGTGGGGAGGGGCTGGGAGGGGAGGGTGGGGCTGGGAGGGGAGGGTGGGGAGGGTGGGGAGGGTGGGGCTGGATGGGGAGGGGCTGGGTGAGGAGGGTGGGGAGGGGCTGGGTGGGGAGGCTGGGGCTGGGTGGGGGGTGGGAGGGGTGGGGCTGGGTGATGAGGGGCTGGTCACCCCGTGGTGCCCTTATAAAACTCAACGTTTAACCTACTCACGGCGGCTTGTGCCCGCCCTCACAGTCGGCCATTTTTGCAGAATCCACCACGCCGCCATTGACCCTGCAGGCCATTGACCGAGCAACTCAACGTTCCTACCAGCTCCCTCCGCAGGAATGTGTTACCTGGGGGTGGATAATGCATGAGTCCTTGCACGTGGCACTCTGTTTGCTGTGTAAACATCTTAACGACACTGTTTTATTGCCAGAAGGGGTGAAATCTGATCTAATATGTTCATGGTGGCAACGGGAGGTCCCATGATGTGGAACGGTGTTTAGAGTTACCGGTGATGGACGGCGTCGTCAAGGGCACTTGTGGAGTTGTTGCCACCGTCGACGTGTCTGCGGTGACACCAAACGCGACTTGTTAAGGGGGGCCGGGGGGGGGGCGGTCGATTTGCAGGCATCGTCGGCATTGCCAGTCGTCCGTATCATCGTATATTGTTGTTTACACTACACTATACCCTCCTATAAACTACACTACTACACACTACACTATTATACATTGCACTACTACATTCTACACTACTATACACTACTATACACCACACTACTAGACGCTACACCACTACAGTTCAACACGTAGGCCTTCGCGACCAATGTCATCCATAATATAGAATTGTTTGGGTTAGACGGCGTTAATATAAATACGTCGTTAAACCCGCCACCACCCAACCACACAGACAATTAGTAACGGGGTCGTCGTGTAAACAAGACGACACAATTAGTTACTTAGTTCAGCACGAAGCGGTGTGTGTGTTGGAGAATAAACCCACTACTACATTTACAATCACACTTAATTTGGAGCTTTCGTGACTGCAGGAATTACTCTTTGGTTCTTTCGGTAAAGTCACGTAGAAAGATAAAATAATACTGGTAGGAACCTCCTGGTTAAACCAGCCCACAGGGGATTATTGTGTCTGTCCGTCGTGCAGGGAGTGGCTGGGTGGGGAGGGAGGGGGTGGGTAGGGAGGGTAGGGTGGGGCTGGGTGGGGAGGGTGGGGAGGGTGGGGCTGGGTGGGGAGGGTGAGGCTGGGTGGGGAGGGGAGGATGGGGAGGGGCTGGGTGGGGCTGGGTGGGGAGGGGCTGGTCACCCCGTGGTGCCCTTATAAAACTCAACGTTTCACCTACTCACGCCGGCTTGTGCCCGCCCTCACAGTCGGCCATTTTTGCGGAATCCACCACGCCGCCATTGACCCTGCAGGCCATTGACCGAGCAACCCGACGTTCCTACCAGCTCCCTCCGCAGGACAATGTGTTACCTGGGGGTGAGCAGCTACATCATGCATATGTAATAAAGGTCGTGGAAGCGACTTCTGGAATCCGGTCTTTATTTGTCTTTCTTTACAACACTCCTTCACGCTGCTGACAGACAGCGTGAGAGGGATAGAAAGAGAGAGAGAGACGCGCGCAGCCACGTGGCAGCCTGGACCACGTGGCAGCCTGGACCATGTGGCAGCTTGGACCACGTGGCAGCCTGGACCACGTGGTACAGCCTGGACCACGTGGCAGCCTGGACCCCCGCTCTCGCGTGGCCTCTCCCTCCGTTCGTTCCAGTTCTGACCACGTGTTGTTCGTCTCCACCCCTATTTAATACCCGGGTCACGTGGTACCTTTCCACCAATCCTGGTTAGCCTCTATGGAATCTTCCAGACTCCATCGTAGGCTCCCGGGACCATGCCCCTGACTCGTCTCCCCATTGGCTGTGGCTAAAGCCAGCAGAACCAATCATCTACTTGCAGCTGTCACCTTCCCATGACGTCAGGGCCACGCCCCTGACTCGTCTCCCCATTGGCTGTGGCTTAAGCCAGCAGAACCAATCATCTACTTGCAGATGTCACCTTCCCATGACGTCAGGGCCACGCCCCTGACTCGTCTCCCCATTGGCTGTGGCTAAAGCCAGCAGAACCAATCATCTACTTGCAGCTGTCACCTTCCCGTGACGTCAGGGCCACGCCCCTAGGCTTCCCCCCATTGGCTATGGACCAGGACCAGCAGAGCCAATCATCGTGACGAGTTGTGATCCGTCAGCGTCCCGGATATATCCTCACATTACACATATATTACCGGAGCACGTGTGTGGATAATGCATGAATCCTTGCACGTGGAATTCTGTTTGCTGTTTTATTGGCGGAAAGGGTGAAATCTGTTCTAATATGTTCATGCTGGCAAAGGGAGGTCCCATGATGCGGAACGGTGTTTACAGTTACCGGTGACGGGCGGCGTCGTCAAGGCCACCTGTGGAGTTGTTGCCACCGTTGACGTGTCTGCGGTGACATCAAACGAGATTTGTTAAGGGGGTCGATTCACAGGCATCGTCGGCATTGCCAGTCGTCCGTATCACCGTGTGTTGTTGTTTAGACTACACTATACCCTCCTATAAACTACACAACTACACACTACACTATTGTAATAAAGGTCGTGAAAGCGACTTCTAGAATCCGGTCTTTATTTGTCTTTCGTTCACAACACTCCCATCTTACTCCTTCACGCTGCTGACAGACAGCGGGAGAGAGAGAGAGACACGCGCGGCCACGTGGCAGCCTGGACCACGTGGCAGCCTGGACCACGTGGGCAGCCTGGACCACGTGGCAGCCTGGACCACGTGGCAGCCTGGACCACGTGGCAGCCTGGACCACGTGGGCAGCCTGGACCACGTGGCAGCCTGGACCACGTGGCAGCCTGGACCACGTGGCAGCCTGGACCACGTGGCAGCCTGGACCACGTGGGCAGCCTGGACCACGTGGCAGCCTGCACCACGTGGCAGCCTGCACCACGTGGCAGCCTGGACCACGTGGCAGCCTGGACCACGTGGCAGCCTGGACCCTGCTCCAGCGTGGCCTCACCCTCCGTTCGTTCCAGATCTGACCACGTGTTGTCCGTTTCCACCCCTTTTAATACCCGGGTCACGTGGTACCTTTCCACCAATCCTGGTTAGCCTCTATGGAATCTTCCACACTCCATCGTAGGCTCCCGGGACCACGCCCCTGACTCGTCTCCCCATTGGCTGTGGCTAAAGCCAGCAGAACCAATCCTCTACTTACAGCTGTCACCTTCCCATGACGTCAGGGCCATGCCCATAGACTTCCCCTATTGGCTATGGACCAGGACCGGTAGAGCCAATCATCGTAACGAGGTGTGATCCATCTTCTTGGTTCTTTCGGTAAAGTCACGTAGAATGGAAATAATAAAATAAGACTGTCTCCTCGACAGACCTGTTCTCCACCTGAGGACGGCTGCTTGCGTTGTGGCCGAAACGTCGTGAGAATTATTTTATTATGTTTTATTTTTATTATTTTATTTTTTCCCTTCTACTTGATGACTTTACCGAAAGAACCAAGAAGATGAATCCCTGCAGTCACGAAAAAAGCTTTAAATCGAAATCTGTCCTAATATGTTAATGCTTGCAAAGGGAGGTTTCATGATGTGGAGCGGTGTTTACAGTTATTGATGATGAACGGCGTCGTCAAGGGCACCTGTGGAGTTGATGGCACTGTCGTCGTAGCTGCGGTGACATCAAACACGATTTGTTAAGGGGGGCCGGGAGGGGGGGGGTCGATTTGCAGGCATCGTCGGCATTCCCAATCATCCGTATCACCGTGCGTTGTTGTTTAGACTACACCATTCTGGCGAATTGCCCGATGATGCTGGATGCAATTACCAGCGAAACGTCGTACAACTCAAATTGTAAATGTTGTGGTTTCATGCTTCAACACTGCACCGGTGTGGGGGCTAAAGCAGTGAACTATTTTGTCTTTTGTCAACGTGACACTTTTTATTGCTGATTGGCCGTGTCGGGTGGTGGAGGGTTACGACACATTTATACATAACGCGATCTAATCCCAAAAAGTTGATTATGAAGACTACACTATACCCTACTATAAACTACACTACTACACACTACACTATTATACATTGCACTACTACATTCTACATTGCTATACACTACTTTACACCACACTACTAGACGCTACACTTATATATCTTCTTGGTTCTTTCGGTAAAGTCACGTAGAATGGAAATAATAAAATAATAAATAAAACATAATACATATAATATTATTTTATTATGTTTTATTTTTATTATTTTATTATTTCCATTCTACGTGACTTTACCGAAAGAACATAATAAGGGAGTTAACATATCCTAGCCATCACAGAGTTATGGTCGAGATCGACCCCACGACCTCCTGTTAACCAGGCGAGGTAGTTAACATCTCCTAGCCACCGTGATGATGAGAGAGAGAGAGACACAGACTCCAAATATACAGCAGCAGGCATCGTCAGGGTCGGGATCGAACCCACGAACTCCTGTACACCTGTGGAGGTAGTTAACATCTCCTAGCCATCATAGAGTTAGAGTCGAGATCGACCCCAAGACCTCCTGTTTGCCAGGCGAGGTAGTTAACATCTCCTAGCCACCGTGGCGTTAGGGTCTGGATCGAACCCACGACCTCCTGTATACAAGACGAGGTAGTTCACATCTTCCTATCCACCGTGGCGCCCCAATCTAGTGCCGAGTGGTGTTCTCGGCCGAGTTCAATTACTTTGGCACAGGACGTGCGGTAACAGGATGGAGAGCAGCAGCAGTGACTTGTCCATGGTTTCCCGCTTGAGAAGCAGATGTCTCGAGGAATTCTGGAAAGAGAAAAAAAATTAAGCCGTAAAAACAAAGTTTTTCACTATAAATCCTTTATATGCGCGGCATCGGTTTCATTGTATTATTCATTTCTGTTTTTCTTGGGTAAGCAAGCAAGCAAGTGAAGTTAATATAAGGGATTTAACAAGTATAACCCGTAAAAACAAAGTTTTTCACTCTAAATCCTTTATATGCGTGGCGGCTAGAGTCCTCTCGTCCTCTGGCTTGAGATGGCTGCCACCTATGGGTCAGATGATTGTCTGCCAGTATTAAACAATTGGTAATTAAATATTTAATTTGTTTTCCCTAAACAGTGTCAAATTTAGGAAAAAATACTTCACAAACATTAATTGTCTCGCACAACGAGTCTGTGTGGAAAATGTCAGCTCGATTGGATCACGGGAAGTGGGTTAAAAAACGACCGAAAGGTTTGCACGGTCGCAAGCGCGCAAGCAAGCAAGTGAACTTAATATAAAGTATTTAAAAACACGCAGACGGCAACAGCATCGTCATCATCGATACGAACACCAGGAAAATGAACGTGACCACCAAAGCCAATATGTATTTGCATACTCTTCGTTTTTTTTCGGTAAAGTCACGTAGGTAAAAAAATTAAAACAAATCAATTGAATCACGACGTATCTCTTGATACAGTAATTTTGCTGTGACGGTTCCACCTGAAGACGGAAGCTTGTGTTGCCTCCAAAACGTCGTGATTTTATGTATTTGTTTTCTTTCTTAACCTACGTGACTTTACCGAAAAACACCAAAGATTATGGATACTTGCAGTCACGAAAACTTCAAATCTAGAATGTATTTGCATGTATGTTGAACCTCTCCATTGGCACCACCGCACGTAGCCAACCGTAGCTAATCGTTGGTTTCGGTGGGAGTCTATGGGTCTCTGTGTGAGTCTATAGGTCTCTGTGTGAGTCTATGGGTCTCTGTGTGAGTCTATGGGTCTATGTGTGAGTCTATGGGTCTCTGTGTGAGTCTATGGGTCTCTGTGTGAGTATATGGGTCTCTTTGTGATTTTATGGGTCTCTTTGTGAGTCTATGGGTCTCTGTATGAGTCTATAAGTCTCTGTGTGAGTCTATGGGTCTCTGTGTGAGTCTATGGGTCTCTGTGTGAGTCTATGGGTCTCTGTGTGAGTCTATGGGTCTCTGTGTGAGTCTATGGGTCTCTGTGTGAGTCTATGGGTCTATGTGTGAGTCTATGGGTCTCTGTGTGAGTCTATGGGTCTCTGTGTGAGTCTATGGGTCTCTGTGTGAGTCTATGGGTCTCTGTGTGAGTCTATGGGTCTCTGTGTGAGTCTATGTGTCTCTGTGTAAGTCTATGGGTCTCTGTGTGAGTCTATGGGTTTCTGTGTGAGTTTATGGGTCTCTTTGTGAGTTTATGGGTCTCTGTGTGAGTCTATAGGTCTCTGTGTGAGTCTATGGGTCTCTGTGTGAGTCTATGGGTCTCTTTGTGAGTCTATGGGTCTCTGTATGAGTCTATAGGTCTCTGTGTGAGTCTATGGGTCTCTTTGTGAGTCTATGGGTCTCTGTGTGAGTCTACGGGTTTCTGTGTGAGTCTGTGGGTCTCTGTGCGAGTCTATGGGTCTCTGTGTGAGTCTGTGGGTCTCTGTGTGAGTCTATGGGTCTCTCTGTGAGACTATAGGTCTCTGTGTGAGTCTATGGGTCTCTGTGTGAGTCTATGGGTCTATGTGTGTGTCTGTGGGTCACTGTGTCAGTTTATGGGTCTCTGTGTGAGTCTATGGGTCTCTGTGTGAGTCTATGAGTCTCTGTGTGAGTCTATGGATATCTGTGTCAGTCTTTGAGTCTCTCTGTGCGTCTATGGGTTTCATAGTGAGTCTATGGGTTTCTTTGTGAGTCTATGGGTGGTCTTTGTGTGAGTCTATGGGTCTCTGTGTGAGGCTATGAGTCTCTGTGTGAGTCTATGGGTCTCTGTGTGAGTCTATGGGTCTCTGTGTGAGTCTATGGGTCTCTGTGTGAGTCTATGGGTCTATGTGTGAGTCTATGGGTCTCTATGTGAGTCTATGGGTCTGTGTGTAAGTCTATGGGTCTCTTTGTGAGTCTATGGGTCTCTTTGTGAGTCTATGGGTCTCTGTGTGAGTCTATGGGTCTCTTTGTGAGTCTGTAGGTCTCTCTGTGAGTCTATGGGTCTCTTTGTGAGTCTGTGGGTCTCTGTGTGAGTCTATGGGTCTATGTGTGAGTCTATGGGTCTATGTGTGACTCTATGGGACTATGTGTGAGTCTATGGGTCTCTGTGTGAGTCTATGGGTATCTGTGTGAGTCTATGGGTCTCTGTGTGAGTCTATGGGTCTATGTGTGAGTCTATGGGTCTCTGTATGAGTCTATGGGTCTCTGTGTGAGTCTATGGGTCTCTTTGTGAGTCTATGGGTCTCTGTGTGAGTCTATGGGTTTCATAGTGAGTCTATGGGTATCTGTGTCAGTCTATGAGTCTCTGTGTGAGTCTATGGGTTTCTTTGTGAGTCTATGGGTCTCTGTGTGAGTCTATGGGTCTCTGAGTGAGTCTATGGGTCTCTGTGTGAGTCTATGAGTCTCTGCGTGAGTCTATGGGAATCTGTGTGAGTCTATGGGTTTCATAGTGAGTCTATGGGTTTCTTTGTGAGTCTATGGGTCTCTGTGTGAGTCTGTGGGTCTCTGTGTGAGTCTATGGGTCTCTGTGTGAGTCTATGGGTTTCTGTGTGAGTCTATGGGTCTCTGTGTGAGTCTATGGGTTTCTGTGTGAGTCTATGGGTTTTTGTGTGAGTCTATGGGTCTCTGTGTGAGTCTATGGGTCTCTGTGTAAGTCTATGTGTCTCTGTGTGAGTCTATGGGTCTCTGTGTGAGTCTATGGGTTTCTGTGTGAGTCTATGGGTCTCTTTGTGAGTCTATGGGTCTCTGTGTGAGTCTATGGGTCTCTGTGTGAGTCTATGTGTCTCTGTGTGAGTCTATGGGTCTCTTTGTGAGTCTTTGGGTCTCTGTATGAGTCTATGGGTCTCTGTGTGAGTCTATGGGTCTCGTGTGAGTCTATGGGTCTCTGTGTGAGTCTACGGGTTTCTGTGTGAGTCTGTGGGTCTCTGTGCGAGTATATGGGTCTCTGTGTGAGTCTATGGGTCTCTGTGTGAGTCTATGGGTCTCTCTGTGAGACTATGGGTCTCTGTGTGAGGCTATGGGTCTCTGTGTGAGTCTATGGGTCTATGTGTGTGTCTGTGGGTCACTGTGTCAGTTTATGGGTCTCTGTGTGAGTCTATGGGTCTCTGTGTGAGTCTATGAGTCTCTGTGTGAGTCTATGGATATCTGTGTCAGTCTTTGGGTCTCTGTGTGAGTGTATGGGTTTCTTTGTGAGTCTATGGGTGGTCTTTGTGTGAGTCTATGGGTCTCTGCGTGAGGCTATGAGTCTCTGTGTGAGTCTATGGGTCTCTGTGTGAGTCTATGGGTCTCTGTGTGAGTCTATGGGTCTCTGTGTGAGTCTATGGGTCTATGTGTGAGTCTATGGGTCTCTGTGTAAGTCTATGGGTCTCTTTGTGAGTCTATGGGTCTCTTTGTGAGTCTATGGGTCTCTGTGTGAGTCTATGGGTCTCTGTGTGAGTCTATGGGTCTCTTTGTGAGTATATGGATCTCTGTGTGAGTCTATGGGTCTCTGTGTGAGTCTATGGGTCTCTATGTGAGTCTACGGGTCTCTGTGTGAGTCTATGGGTATCTGTGTGAGACTATGGGTCTCTATGTGAGTCTATGGGTCTCTGTGTGAGTCTATGGGTCTATGTGTGAGTCTATGGGTATCTGTGTGAGACTATGGGTCTCTATGTGAGTCTATGGGTCTCTGTGTGAGTCTATGGATATCTGTGTGAGTCTATGGGTCTCTATGTGAGTCTATGGGTCTCTGTGTGAGTCTATGGGTATCTGTGTGAGTCTATGGGTCTCTATGTGAGTCTATGGGTCTCTGTGTGAGTCTATGGGTCTCTGTGTGAATCTATGGGTCTCTGTGTGAGTCTATGGGTCTCTGTGTGAGTCTATGGGTCTCTGTGTGAGTCTATGGGTCTCTGTGTGAGTCTATGGGTCTCTGTGTGAGTCTATGGGTCTCTGTGTGAGTCTATGGGTCTCTGTGTGAGTCTATGGGTCTCTGTGTGAGTCTATGGGTCTCTGTGTGAGTCTATGGGTCTCTGTGTGAGTCTATGGGTCTCTGTGTGAGTCTATGTATATATAGAACTTCTTTCGCACCGTACGTAGCCACTGACAATACCCTGTAGCCACGGTGTCTTGGAGATGTTAACTACCTCGCCTGATATACAGGAGGTCGTGGGTTCGATCCCGACCGTAACGATGCCTGCCGTATATTTGAAGTCTGCGTGTCTCTTGTCATCATCACGGTGGCTAGGAGATGTTAACTACCTCGCCTGGTATGCAGGAGGTCGTGGGTTTGACCCCGACTCTGATGCCTGCTGTTGTATATTTGGAGTCTGTGTCTCTCTCTCTCTCTCATCATCATCACGGTGGCAGAGCGTCACCATTCTGGCGAATTGCCCGATGATGCTGGATGCAATTACCAGCGAAACGTCGTACTAATGTTGTGGTTTCACGCTTCAACACACTGGTGGGCTAAAGCAGTGAACTATTTTGTCTTTTGTCAACGTGACACTTTTGTTTTGCTGATTGGCCGTGTCGGGTGGTGGAGGGTTACGACACATTTATGAATAACGCGATCTAAACCCAAAAACGTTGATTATGAAAGAGCGACATCGCTGCAACTCAGTAGGGTTGGCCGCCTTTAACCCGCTGCTAAAATTAATGAATAATAGTTGATTTCATCTTCTTGGTTCGTTCGGTAAAGTCACGTAGAATGCAAATAATAAAATAATTTTAAAAAATATGATAAAATAAAATAAAAATGTTTTATTATGTTTTATTTTAATAAAACATTATAAAATAAAGTAATAAAATAATATTTTGTTTTATTGTGTTTTATTATTATTATTTTATTATTTCCATTCTTCGTGACTTTACCGAAAGAACCAAGAAGATGAATCCCTGCAGTCACGAAAG